ACGGACCAGTTTATTTTTAGAACGGTTTTGGCGCGAATTAAGAACATTTTTACAGTCCCAGGAATTTATTTATTCGGTTATTTATCTATTTAGTTTTGTATTTTGTTTTATGTAGGCAGTTTTTAATATGCATTAAGGGGTTGGCCTGTTTTGAATTACATACTTTTAGTTACATGATATATACGACTCGCTTGTTTGCAGCCTGGTTCAGCTGTGCAAATTTGGGCTATAAAAACAGCTCTCATTCCAAAGGCGTGGGAAAAGGCAAGTAAGAATTAAGATACATGTAACCGCACCTACTGCTTTGAACCAATTAATAAAATCAAAATGTTTTGATAAACCTGTTTATGTCATGTTCCATAATTTTTCACAAATCTCGAAAGGAACTTTTTGATTCTATTTTTTATCATCATCATCAGCAGCAGCATTTGGTATAAGTAGAAGTTGTTGTTGTAGTTAATGTTGTAAATGTATAAACAAAAAAAAAACAAATAAAACAGACAACTTTATTCTCACGAATTAAACCTAAGAACAGTTTCCCCGCAAATTAGCCAAAAAAAACGCTATCAGTCGAGGCAGGGAAAATTAGTCGTATTGAAAATAATGAAAATGAGTCACCATAACAATACAGAAGTTGATCTGTAGAGTTACAGATATTATTTTAAAGCTTAAGATGAGATCATGATATTGGTGGCAGACACGGGAAACAAATGAATTATGCAAATATTCAGTAACATTTTCATTTGATTACTACCACAAAGTATTTGGGAAACATCAATAAAGTCATCTGTTTTCTGAAGAATCTCCAGGAGAATTTGTTTGATTTTCGATTTATATTATATTTCTTGCTTGTCTTCTCAACTACAGGATCTGACATTTTCCCGTCCTCCTCACGCACACAATCAAATGCTGTTGATTTATAATAGGCCACTTGCACTAAGAGGTCACGTGACCAATGCCTCCTTTAAAGAATGAGTTAGAATCTTGCTGATGCCAAAAGTTGACAGAGCACATAAAAACTATCTTACACCCGAAATTTGAGAGGAAACGCATTTAAGGAAGACATTTTATGGCACTTTGATTTTTCAACAAAGTAGTATTAGTTGTATTGGCCGACATGTTGGAGGGCACACTCTTGCCCTCCAATATGGCGGCCAAAACTACTTTTTGCTTATATCTTGTTAAACGTTTGATAGTTACGCTCAGATGTGCTGTAAACGTTCCCACATCAACTTTTCAACATTTTCCTTGAAGTTTAAGTGCAAATTTGCGTTCAGAAAGAGGTAATTCATAATTTTAAAAATCACATTTTGGTCACGTGACCAGCTACGAACTTACTCATTTTAAGAAAATGGTGCTGGTTTGAAAAGCCAAATCACTATTATTTTGTTAAAGATATGACCCACTAGCCGTTTTTGGAAGAAAAAATCATATAACTTTCTTTTTCATAAAAACGATGTCACACGATCTCTTCATGCAAATGGCCTATCCGTATGTTTATTGATTATTTATTTACTTATTTATTTCTATTGTTACGCACTTGGACTTTTTGCGCTAATTTGCGCTTACTAAATTTTTCAACAGCTTTTATTCCAATGTATTTCAATGCCTCCCAATGCCTAAGGTGCTGGTGGTGATCATGGCGCCGGTGGTGGTGGCGGTACGTAGTATTGGTAGTGGTAACGATAAGAAGCGTAGCTGTTGTTTTTTCTAATAGTATCTGTTAAATTGTTTATTCTTCCGCTTGTTCATTTATTTATATATTTATTGATTTATTCTATTTAAGCGCTTTTGGACTTTTTATTTTCTGGAAGAAAATACTGAGAATACAGAGTTTTAAGGTAAATGCAAATAAGTATTTCAGAAATAAGTGTTTCTGCTCCAAGTGTTTTTGCTATGAATGCGACTCGACTTAGGTTTGATATAAAGAGATTTTTTTTCAAACTAGACGAAAGATCAGATAATTCTTCAAACTACTCAAAAAGAACAAAAATATATAAACAATACCTACCTACTTCCTAATGAAAAAGGGTGACATGTTAGTACACTATTAAATTTGAGTGCAATTAAAAAATACAAATGAGGAACAAAATGTTTAGTGAAGGCATATCACTTTAAAACTTCAGCTAAATTAATGAAAGTATCTTCCTCATTTATATTTGAACTTTTTTCACTGAAAAAAGGTTGCTTATTTGTTTATTTTATGCTATTATAATTATTTATTTTTATTTTTCTTGCTCGGATGAATATTGAATTCAACAATAAAACATGAAAAACAATACATAAAACAATGGCACAAGCGTATTTTACATCATGGATGCTATCCTTGTTAAAAATGTAGGGGCCTCGGGATTGCATTTTGCTTTATCTTCTTTTTTTTACTTTGCCCATCAGGATATAAAATCAAAATGAACTTTCGCCCACAGGCGATATTCAGTGAGTTCCGTTTTGCCTTCTTCTCACAAATATTACTTATAACGTAAATCAGCTGGCTAACAAAAGAAATTTAGACCCCAGAGAAACCTCACAAAGGTGGGTAAACTTTTTAGCAAGTGCTGTTTAATTAACAAGCGATGGTAGCCTGAAGTTAATTTCCCATGCGAAAATTTTACTGAGTGATCAGACTAATTTTGTGTAAAACAAAATGATTTCATTTAAAGGGTCTTTGGGCAAGTCAAAGTACGACGGTGTCACCTCTGAAAGAAGCCGTTAACAGGTACGTTGTTGAATTAAACAAATTATTCGTAGAATAAACATTTATAAACGTGGCGCCACACTTAGCTGAAGTTAGTCCAGCACAGGGTTACGTTCGGTTGTGAATTCTCGGAAAGGGTTTTTTTTCGCTCATGTTGTTTTTTTATTTCTTTTTCTCTTTGTCTTCTTCTCAATTTCTTAACTCCTACTACGTGACATCTTGTTTTTTGTTTTTTTGTTTTCATTTAACTTTGTTAGATTGAACTAAAATATAAGCAACGGTGCTTATTTAATAAATATAACTACCAAAGATCTACTAGTGGGAACCAACCGACACCTGGCATATGTAATTGAAAACTGGCCTTTCCTTGCGAAACCTTCACTCCCCCAAAATAAAAAGTGACTTCAATTAAAGCTTTCTTTTGATGTTGAACTTAACTTAATAACTTTTTATCGCAGTCGCCAAAAGGGCAAAAGAAAATGGCTCAGTTTGCGACCAAATAGCACCTCATAAATGTATTTCGCAGAAGGTTTCATTTCACTTGCTATTTCATTCTTCAGTGGTGTAATTTTTTTTAATGTATTCCTTTACAGAGTAAAAATAACCTGGATAGGATATGCGTCGATGCACTCTGATTTGTACAAATTGAAAACTATTCGTTATGATCCTTTGTAACTCATGAAAAGATCAAATACTTACTGCGCTTTTTGTCAAAAAGTGACACGATTTCAGTTATGTTTTATTGCTTTTCTAGAGTTGTAAGCTAAAATGTCTCACGTTTGGTTAATGCATTCACAAGGTTTGAATGTTTTCATTGGATGAGTTTTCATTGCCACAGCAAAACTAAAACTATAAAATTCACAAACATAAATTTCGCTTAGTGATGTGTGATCAGTAGGAAAGTCAGCTGAATGCAAACTCTCTCTGCATGTCAAATTAAGTTTAAATTTCCTATTCGCGTTGGGGCACTTTTCCCCCACGCTTAAAGCAATTAATGATCACTTCAAAAGGAGGCGGAAACAAGCTGAAAAGAAATTAAAATTGACGTTTATTATAACAATATGTGCTTTCAGAACAAATAATGCTTGTTTACCCAATTTCAAAAGCTAACGACAGAATGGGAAAAAAATGGACCAAAATAGTTTTGTTTGACTCGTGGCGAGACACGCTATTGCGTTTAGTTTTATAGCTAAGATTTTCTTAACGTAAATTGATCTTTTTCACACGTCAGGTCTTATTTTTTTGCGTAAACAGTAATGATATCATTAGAAAATTTCCATTTCCAACGGATTTTGTAATCAAAGATTTCAATTTTTATCTGCTCTGGTATCTATTTTGTATGACTGTATAAGATTGCAGGCAAATGAAGTAACTGAACCTTGAGACCATTGAAGGCAAAAAAGAAAACCAGTGTTAATGAACTCTATATGATTATAAAACTGGAGAGAGAGGTCTGTTTGGAGTGATGACCTTTGACTCTTCGAAGTATTTATCAGACCATCACGTATTTTCACGTATTAATTCCTGTTCTGTTATCAAAAAAGGTAGAATTGAAAGTGCAAAATAAGATCGTATATCAACAATCCATGTCTGAATTGTTCTCTTTTAATAGGACTATGTAACTCAAAATAAGAATCTGAGTCTGATAGGGAATTTGGAGATGATCTTGTTTCCACGTTTCACTTAAGTTTGCTCTTTTGTCGGACAAAGCCCTTGGCTTTCAGTGTTTTCAACAATTAAACGCTGTTCAGAAACATTCATACTTTTAAAAACATTCCTGTCCTGTCTTAATTTATTGCTTGTAAAATCTGTTATATGGCTTGCAGAAACTTGTGTCATAAATAGATTTGTTGCTTCATCATACAATTGAACTTTCTAACGCAAGGAGCCTTAATTGGTGTAAGCACATTTACGTAAAATTACATTTTCTTGTTGATGATAATCGTTTTTAACGTTCCAAAAATGTGACAACATTCCGCAGCTTGCAAAAGTGTCGATGACAAAAGGAAGTCTACTTTGGAGGTGTTTGAACTTAAAATTGAGAAAACGTTGTTTCGCATGTCGCTTAACTGCCACCTCATTTTGGCAAGCCTAACAGCCTACGAACCTTTCGGCATATTTAATTGCCAGCTTGGACGAAAGGAAAACGTTATAGACTAACAGATGTGTCACATAATTTAAACATGGAGTCACCCAAAGGAAATATTAGAACAAAAGCTCTTTCCAGCGAAGTGAATTAGCGTTAACGGCGGAAATTGAAGGGGAGGAATCTCATATCGATTGCTTTTATATATTGAAAAGTGAGATGACAGCTATGTATATACCACAATTCGCCAACAGTGCTGAACTAAGGCACTGGCAAGGCGTACGTTGGGACGAAACAAGGAAAAGCAGAAGGCGATTTTTGAAGGTATGTATAGTGCGATCGTAACGTTTTGATGAAATAAAGGGCCTGTAAGAACAAAACTTACAAAATTGTTTTCCTCCTTTATTTTATGAGAGCAAACGATGAAATAAAATTCTTTTGATTTTTTTTTTAAAAGAGCGAAATCCTCTTTACTTTTTATTAATTTGAATTTGAGTTTTTCATTTTGCCATTTGTTATCAGTTCGTACTTACGAGCATAAACAGGTAACATCGATGATAACGCTTTGGAGTATTTCATACAGCTAGTTATCAAAGACCAGCTATTCTTAATTTTGACTGCGTATACATTTCTACTAGAAAGGAAGAATTGCATTAAAACTTACACAAGATTGCATATAACTTATCACAGTAGCTTCCACCCGAGAACAGTCTTATAAGGGGTTTCAAATGAGTTTTATAGACTGCGATTGTGTTGAAAAAGCAAAATATGTAATCGAATATCCGATCAATGGTAATGGCTGAACAATTTTTACCGGGTCACCTAGAAATGTTTTCACAACTTCACAAGTAAGCAAGTAATAAATATTTTCTTTCTTTCGAGACCTTTCAATTTGACGACAATATTTCATCATGCTTCCCATATCAAAAAAAACGCTCATGGAATAATAGGCTGATTTATACGGTTCAACTTTGTCGCATGCGATGTGCTTACAATTTAGCGGCCTACGCCACGGGTTGTATCGTGTAAACCTATCCTGCAACTGACTGGACTAGCGTAGATCGGCGTTACATTTAGTTTTTCAAGTTTTGAAAACGATCGAAGGAGGTCTGTTGTTTGCATTTGGTTGGGCAAAAAAAGGCCATATAGAAGAAACTTAGCGTTTGGAAGACCTTTTTCAGACGTGAAACCATTACCCGAATGATCGGTTTTCAACTTTGAAAATGTTTCAATAAATTGCCTTTCATTCTGCTTGAGAATTAAATACCCAGTTTTCAGGAACTTTCTGTCCTGAGGGGAATGGTTAGAAACAGAATGCGAAATGTGAAGCATTTGACGAGGGTAGTAGTTTCCTGATCTGGCCCCGCAGTTGTTCAAAAGATGGATAGAGCTATCCCCTGCTAAAAAATTCTATCTCGTGGATAATGCAATTGGTTTCTCTAATACTTAATTCATCCGGTGGATAGCGCTATCCAACGTTTGAACAGCTTTGTCCTGGGCTTTTGGGCTGGTCTAGTAAGGTCTTGACTGGTATAAGACTTAAAAGAAATTTCTTTATTTATCCATTTACTATATAGTTTATACAGTTCTATTATTAACCTTGTCGTAGTGAAGGGTTCAGATTTCAGCCAATTTACAGATGAATAGACTATGGTTGGTACATAGTTTACCAGAAATTTTAGATGTTGTCTAATTGAGGGAAAATGATCCTTGCAAACCAAACCGGGGGGGAAACTTCATGACATCGACGATTTATTGTCGAAATTGGAAAAAAAAAGAAGAAAAAGTAAAAGAAAAAGAAAAGAAAACGTACGAGCGGATATGCTGAACTTCTCTGTCCTCTATATGTACATATCAATGTACATGCATACATACGCTGTTTACAGGTAGCAATAACGACATTTGAATGACGATTATGAGATTAACCCTATATTAAGATCTCTCGTTACAGATAACCCACCTAGCCCAGAAAAGGTTGGCCACAAGTTGTACTAATAATAACAGACTCGACTGAGTGCGTGGGTGGCCACGTCGGGTCAACTCCAAATAAAATTATAACGCTTACATACATTTTTTTATTCTACACAGACACAAGAAGGGGAGAAAAGAATCCAACAATGAATATTGTAACCACGATCTTACTTGCACTCGTCGGAATTATTTTAATGTCCACTGTCGTTAAAGCTTTGCCCATTTTGGGTGATGCTGACGATGAATTACACACAGAACAGCTCAGAGCTTTAGCTGACGAAAGCCCAAGAAAGTTTAAGCGAATTTGTGGAATCAGCATGGTGTGCCGGCCGTACGGTGGAAAGGTATAACGTTGCAACTCTTATTTAACATTGGCATTTTGTCCTTTTAGGTAATTCTGGTGGCTCATTGGCTTATTGCAGTGTTAACGGCCTATAATGAATTCTTTTTCATGCATACCTCGAGACTTTTTAGCCCAGTGACCCTTCCATTTACCTTACAGATCAAAATATTTTGATTATATTTCTTATTTCCTGCAAAGCAAGTTGTACGTTTTTGTTACCTGTTATTCTGTAGCCTTTTATGATCCTCGGTGAAGGTTGGTATCTAGTTTGTTCTTGTATACTAATTAATAATATGTCCGGGCATCGACTGTTCTCGTATTATAGGCCTGGCTTTTCCTAAAATGGCCGGAAATTGAAATAAGATTTAAATGGAACCCGAAAGCATGACTGTATAAGAGTGCAGGTACAGGAAGTAATTGAACCCTAGCTCTGCATTTATATGTTCCCAGATATCGTATTCAGGTAAGCCTCATGCAGTAAAATAATCGTTGAAAATGAAACTTAAGATTTCATTGACACTAGGACGTCACTGGCCATTCTAAAATTTAGAATCAATGTTCTGCATTAAGGAAAAGACACTTTTAAAGAGGAAGCAGCGACCTGCAAATGTTAAAGTCAAAACTAGCGTGTATGAAGGTGATAAAACACTTTTTTCTTCTTTCATTTCATAGAAAAGAAGAATAGGAAAAGAGTGGATATCATCAAACAAAAAACTCAGCGATGTTATACACCCTTCATATAACCAAGAAAACTATCAAGACTATTAACAAGAAGAATAATCTGTAACTTCGAAGAAAAAGAACAAACATCAATCTAGATCTATATTTTATCTAATAAATGTGGCTCAGGTTCAGTTTAAGGTCGGTTTTATGAGCTGTAAGAATAGAGAGAAGGTTTCAATAAAAGCAGCGATTTACCGTTGACAAACAAACAGTATTGTTTGATGGTCATGACATCGAACGAAAATAATATATTTCTCATTTATTCAACGAACTTCAAATTTAACATGGCTGCTTCCCACCTCGCCCCGTTTATTTGGAGAAAGGTTTTCGTGGAAAAGAGGGCTAAGTCGCATTTAGCTACAATCGGCGACAAAATTATTGTTGAGACATTGTACTCAAATAGGGTAACTAAGGAGGACAAAAGAATCCACACCTCTCTGCTCTCCCCTTCTTTCAAAGTTGGGGTGTTTGTTGTTGTCTGTAGGCAGCTCAAACAGCAGCACAACATTGCATAAAGGGGATGGCGGGGGAAAAGCTGTATTTTCCACTCTGGAAGCCAGTAAAACGTCAGAAAGCCCCTTTAGGGCGAAGAGTCTCCAATAAATTTTGTCGCCCATTGTAGCTTTAATATGAGGAAAAAGTTGACCGTCTAGCCAAGAGAACATGCTCTAATTGTCTCCCCTGACGGAGTTGACCAGGCTGGATGAGCCAAAGTGTTTATTTGCAGAAAAGTTGCCTCGGCTAGGAGCGTGACCCTACCATCGGAAAAGGGTGACTCGGAAAGGAGAGACTGAACGTTTTGCGTCTTATAAAACGTTTGCATGCGACTTTTTTAACGCATTGTACTTGTTTCTCGCTTAATAGAGGTTGAATGTCCACAGACCTTTCAGATCGTAAAATTTAACCTATCGCCCTTACAGCTGTCAGAGAAACCGAAAAAAACCATATCGTTATAAGCAAAACAGCGGCATTAAATTTTTCATTAACTTTGGTAGCATCCAGAACGTTTTATTAGTGGAATTCATTGCGTTTTTTGGTTTTAACTTGCAAAATAATTTTTAATGTGTTCATCTACTTCATTGTACATGTATTACTTGATAATTTCCCTTACCTCCTTTCTCTTTTTCTCTACTGCAGAATACTTATTTTGACGGAATAGCTTTCAACACCATATTATCATTATTCCCTAATTGTCAAGTTACGATATAACAATTATATACTGCATCACAACATGACAAGTTTTATTCCTGTTACTTATCTTTGCAGATTTTTTCATGGGAAACAAAACTTTGAATTACCTTTCCTGTCCAGACTTAAGTATGTGATCAAACCTCACTCTCCATACATTAGCGGGAAAAATAATAAAATCCTTTAATCACACATATTTTTAGGTTATTCTTTAAAATGGACATTGTCAAAACAAAAAGCTACCGCGGTGTTTGTAAAATCCAAGCTTGCTTTGGTTATAAATCTTGGCGCTCAACCCAGTGTAAACATAGATTTCTAACTCTGCTTCAACCACTTCAAAACTATTGAGTATTTCCTTTTTCGGTTCCGTTTCTCGGGCGTTGGTTATTGCGTCAATGAGAGCCTTGCAGAAGAGGCTGTGCTGCACAGCTTCAGGTGGAGACTCAACGAGCACACTTTGCACGTGACTGGTTAACGAGATGTAGGGCATTTCGTCATACCATGGGTTCCAGTTCTGGAAGAAGCCGGGTTCTTGATTCGAGCAGAAAATGCGTAAGCCGGACTGTTTGGAGTGGGGACTGTTGTCCAAGTAACCAGTGATCCTACAGGGAGAAAAAAGGTCAACAATAAATGCTGAACTGATGCAGAGACAAACAGTTGAACGCTTGTACTCTGTGCATGATTTATCCCAGTTTTGCCCATTTTTGGAGCTTTCTGCCCCTTTCTTGTAGGGCGAAACTGAACGACTTCATACACACATTATACTGAATGGCGGTTCACATTTTTTCCTTTCAACCTTTGGAAGAGAAATTCGATAGGATATATTGTGTTCAAGATTTAAAGCCACTTTCCTTTTTCTTGCTGAACGCTGGTAATCTGAGCATGATTTATCCCAACTTTGCCAATTTTTGGAGCTTTCTGCCCCTTTCTTGTTGGGCAGAATGACTTCATACATCATACTAAATGGCGACTCACATTCTTTTCTTTCAACCTTTGGAAGAGAAATTCGACATCTCTTTATTTGTATTAAAGGTTTTAAAAAAGCCACTTTAAAGCCAATTTTCTTTTTCGTTGCCACTATTTCGTTATACCATTCAAACACATGCACCAAGCCATGACTTGCTTTAAAGGGATACTCAATATCTAAAAGCAACTTGTGCTCAAAAGATATTTGCACTATTATTACGGGAAAATGACAAAAAACAACCGAAAAGCAAAAGTAAAAGCCCGAAAATCGTCAGAGAAAAGCGAAATTTCTCCCCTTTAAGGACCAGAAGTGAAATCGCCGATTTGTTAAAACACGTGACCATGACGTAGAAAGAAGAATCTTTTCAGTATGACTGAAGAGATTGTAGAGTCCGAGGATAGTTCTTCCCTTTCTTCTCGTCCTTCAAACAAAAGTATAAACGACAATTCGAGTTTATCACAGTGTGAGGGAGCACAGACTTGTTTGTTTGAGCCGAATTACAGCGAGTAAACTAAACTTGCATACTGACTCGACATGCGAGTCCATGCGAGTCCAACGTGGAGCAACAATACCGATCGGCATTAAAGCAAATATGCTGCATCGCAAATCCTGTTCATTACTGATGGACGGTATTATTATACGTTCGATAAAATAAAATAATTCTGGCCGTCAATCACTCTTCTGATGGAGTGGCAATGTTTTCTTTGAGCATTATTTCGATCTAAAGCCGTGTAATACCTATGTGAGCCGTCTGCGTACAAGGCAATTTTCCCGGGAAATTCAGAAAATCGCGTTTATGAACATACGCTTGTATATAGGTTGTACACCTAAGAAAAAGTGACTAACGCCACAGCTGTAGATGTAAATGTTGATTTTGGCAACGCCTGAATCGATTTCAAGAGTGTCTACTGGTCAGAGTTTGACTGTGTGGCCTAATGGTCACTAAGAACAACGAAGCAGTTGAGACAGAAGAATTAGTTATACTCCTTTTGGCAGAACGCAACACCCCGGATTCCAAGCCGTTTTATTGAATCGCTGGGTTCTTCAGATGGCCTGGTATCAATGCAAACAAAGGCAACTGGCGAGGTGGTGCTAGGCATTTTAGTCGTGAAAAGTTCGCGTTGTCCTGCCATCTTGCGCGATCCCTCTTGTGCTGTTTGCTGCCAGTCGCCGCTCACTTCCCTCTTCCAGGCAATGAACATGACTTTGTGTTCAAGGGATTTCGCCTTGCGGACGGGTAATGAGAAGACAGACTACACAGAATTTTAACATATCTCCGCCATATAAAGCATAAGAAATTAATTTAATTTTTTGGTGATTTGCCTTTATCTTGAGTATCCTGAGAGGTTGCTGAGGTATCCGTTTCACGCCTTAACTTTTAGTCTCTGGAAACCCACGTTTAAAAATTGTTGGAACATCACCAGCTTTTATCAGTGGTTACAGATTTAAGTCTAAGGACTAAGCTGTCGCTGTTTAAGCTTCAAAGTAGTCTTCAGTAAAATGAGCGCTGCAAGGTCTAGTTGAATTCGTAGCAGGGCGAGTGTTTTCCACGGCGTTCGTCCAAAGCCTGGCGTATCGGGGATCATCGGGGCCAGTGATAGACTAACTCCGTCTTTGCGAGCGTTGAAACATTCAACAGCGATGCAGCAGTGTGGTATTATAAATTCTCCCTGAAATATCAGCCATAAAATCCTTTATTAAAACAGACCGGAAACCTTGAAGCCACGTTGTATTGCCTTGAGAGAGGATCTTCTTTCTACGTCAGTTCCGGTTTCTAGCTGTAGCGCAAAATTTTAATTGCGTGACGAACAACTTTCCTCGTTTTCAGGCCATAAACTATCTTTTCGTGAAATTGCCATTTTGAGTATAGAGTATCCCTTTAAAATACTCGTGTGGATTGAGGCCAGCAAAATTGTGTAAATAATAAAGGATCGGCGCAAGATGCACTGGATCTTCTAAACTGGAACCCATGTCACGTGACCAGTCAAGGTGATGAGTCAGAAGATAATATGATTAAAACGACTGGGAAGGACAACGACATTCTTTTGTTACTTTCTGCAAGCTCTAACAAAGTATGAAATTAATAAAACCTGATGTTTAAGGCACGCATTTTTCAACCGAGTACTAACATGCATAAATAATTGAGCACTTATCATGTTACTATACATGTACATTAACACTATCAAACTATACACTATTTTTACATATTCTTTGATTTTTTAGTAAGTTAGTATTACAATAGAAAATAATCGGTTGATTACTCCTGAATTAAATTTTGTTCACAAAGATATGAGTATTTCACAGGTACATGTATCTTAAAATGAGTTTCCTTAAAATGTCTACATGTAACACCATAGCGCAAATACGCATCGTTCACAAACTAAGCCCACGACATCCAAAGCCCTCAAATCCGAAACTTTCCCCGATCACGGTTAAACCCTAGGATGCCATAGTTATCAAGTATCGGCGAAAACCCACAATACACTTCAATTAGTGTTGGCTCATTGTGCGCAATCTCGAGAGATTATTTGCCACACCTTCTTGAAGTGCATTATGGGCCTCGGTGATGGCTTGTATAATGGCCTGCTGCAATGGATCGAGCTGCATGTGCGCAGGTAGTCTGGCCATGACGTCATTGCCTCTGTGCCAAGCAAATGTGACAAAGGGGATTGCACGTGACCATGGATTCCAGTTTTGAAGAAATGTTGGTTGGACGTTTTTGCCAAGGTAGACACGCAATCCGGCTTGGAAGTGCCGCGGACTGAAAAAGAGGGTTCGACAGTCCCTTAGGGAATTTTTTTCAGCTGTTTGCTCTCTTCTTCTTTTAGAGAAGATTCGGTGTTAAATTTAGAAACGTCGCACGACTTAAAAAAAAGAACACAAAAATGTAACACGACGTGTTAATTTCTGGATGCATGACCAACTCAAGAAAATTTGTTATGTTGTTGTTGAACTTTTAAAAAAATATTTTTATATCCCAATGCAGTACTGGATGTTTCTCAAATTTTCGTTTAACTTGACAAAACCGTGCTCATCATTAATTTATTTTTTCTCAAAAGGTTTGTGTGCTAATCTGTAACTGCTGAGTAGAGTTTGACTTTGGTTCTCAAGCTCTGATAAGGGCTTTTCTCTTGGTTCTTCTCCAAGGGACTTTCTCCCTCACAAAATTCAACAATTCCAATTTTCACTTCAACTGAGAAATTATAGGCCACAGGCCTATTTCTCTGCAGGAACTACGTGCTACTCTCATTTTATTTACCTTATGTTTCACTTATTTCTTTTTTTTTTTATGTTCATGGAAGTATGTGTAAGATGTAATATATCAAGCATGAGACGAAGTGTTTCATCACCAGATGAAACCAGTGTTCCACATAAGAGACAGGTCTCGGGTCAATGACCCGATAAAGAAGGCTTTCTGACCCGACAGACGAAGCATAAATGTTAACTTAAATATAACAAATTAAAAACAAAATAGACAAGGAAAGACGGACGTTTTTCGCAAAATACAACTAAAAGACTAGAAAAAGAAAGAGGGAAATTTCTAGGCTAAAAAAGTATTTTTTTTTTCTCTGACAGCGACGAATGATTACAAAGATTAACGAAGTAGAAGGTAACAGTTGCCTGGTACGGTGTCCCAGAAACACTGAGAAGAGAGTTGAAAATACGACGCACAGTGAAGTGTTTTTGACGAACTTCGAGGTGTTTCATCTGGTGATGAACCACTGTGTCGAGTGCTTGATATTACTTCTCAAACAATTTAGGGATGCAAAAATGAGCAGTTTTTCACCTGATTTCCACACACTCATTGACCATTAATTTCCTTTGTATTTTCTTTATGAATTATTAATGAGTTTGAGAAGTGATAATGAATATCAAATGCAAGAATTATGCATAAGAGGGGATATGCCTTAGCAGAGCCCAATGGTCCCTGGCGATCAAGTTGCTTTTGCCTTAGGGAGATGTCAAGAAAATCTTAGCTCTTTAAACTCATAATATGCAAACAGTAGTTTCATAGGTTTAAGAGCGTTTGGCCTCCATACCATTTTCCTGAAGCAACCGTTGAAGAATTGTTGGCATTAAAAGTACCAAAGTGGAAAAGTTACTGTACTCACATCATCATGGTGGTTTTAGGATACACAAATCTTCCGATCTGTATCTTGTTACACTCGATCAATGGCACTTTTCTCACCCCATCAAATTTCAAACCACTAAAATTGTACTTAACCAAGCAAAGGGTCTTCTTGGTGATAAGAACAATCCTTTCTTTTTCATGATCCCAGTGGTCAATCCTGCAAATAGTATTTATAATTAGTAACAGTTGACAGTAATTCACCACTTTAGACATGAAAAGGGGGGAGGGGGAGCAAAAATGTGTCCCGCAATTGTTTCTAGGATTCAGTGATTTTGTTACAAAATACAGGTAGTCATATTGGTGAGTCCTGGGACTCATCTTGTGAAAAATCATGAGTCCCTCTCCATAACCAATGAGTCCAAGTTCAAACAAACAAGGATTCCTAAATTGAAAATGCTTGGGCCTTTATATAACCAGAGAATTAATCAGGAGAAAGACGCCAAAACTCTTAATTACAGTTCACTGAAATTAAAATATAGTGCTTCTTTTATTTAAAGCACAAAAAAGACTTAAATAAATATGCATCTTTAAACAACAGCCACAGAAATCACAAACAAGATATTGTACCAAAAATTTTTCAAATGGATTAATCATCCTTTGCATCCTACAGGACGCAAGACATGAATCATTCCGCGTCTAGTTTGGGGATTTTTATGCATCAGAAACGCAGGACGAAAAGGTATTAACATCACTAAGGATGGTTAGTGGGGACGCGTCCGTCGGCCACATGTAGAGGCCATTTTTTCCCCTGTCCCTGGTAACATGTCCCAGAAGTCTTTGCGACAGTTGACTTGGTACAGTCTCCTTCTCATATGCTGTATTATTCTAATAAATGCACCCTCAATCTTTTGTAACCAGTGTACCATAAAAACTGCACACAGCGTTGAGGGTGAAGGTTGTCATTTCATTTTTCTTTGGCTCAATCAAAACTTAAAACTGTTATAATACAAGAATGTTCTCTACCCTAGAAACAGCAAACTAGTCTTCTAAAATGTATAGCATACTACACACTCCAAAGTCATTAACATTGTATAATTTATCTTACAAAAAAGCAAACAAACAAAAAAAAGACCCTGAGGGTTGATGCAGCAGGGGTTTGAACCTTTAACCTCCCGCTCAGCAGACCGGCACTCTCCCAAATGAGCTAACCAGGTGGTGGTTACTTTGCAGGGTGTGAAGAAAGTCAATTCACAGCCTGCCATTCGTGCAAGCTGTACCTAGTATGTACTAGCCCACAAGTCATTTCAACTAGCCCCAAAATCCTTTTTGATAAGCAGGATTGATTACAATCCTTCTGTAATTTGAATTTCCCCAAAAAGCAGCACTTTCCCGTCGGGCAATAAGAACAAAAATCGCTAGATATAGCCTGAGAGCAAATTCCACTAGCCGCGGACAATCGGACACGACTTTCTTTGCAGGCTGTCTTGATGCATGATGTGAGGCTGCCACATAAATTGATACCCAGTAACGATATGCGCCAATGTACCGATAACAATAATTCAGCCTTTAATGGACTATGTAAAGAATCCACAGAGCTCCACGATATTTGACCAAATAAAAAAACAAAGGAGCCCAAATCAACATTCTCCAGGTTATTATGATGACAAATTTGTATATCTCATTTACATGTGAAAAGACGTTAATGTGGCGGCCAGAACAAATACTTTGATTTCACTTACTCGCATAACAGCCAAGAGCTCAAGATTTCCCCATCACTTTCGTCCAAATACGACTTACAGTGCTCCACAGCATTGGCAAATACATCTTTCTGTATAGAAATTCAAGCAATCAAAATTTTGCAATGTTGATTATTAATGATGCACTAACAGAAAAATGTATGGCAGTTGAACCACAATAAACTATACCCAGACCTGAAATAACTGGACTTTAAACTTGTGGAGTTACACTGTAATCACACTTCTTTTCTAATCCCAACTTTTTTCATTAATATGAAATTAGTCAACCTGGACATATGAAATGTCCCTCCCGTCTTGAAGATTTCCTTGGTCAAGGAAACCAAAGTCAACATCATGTCTTGAGGCTAGAATCACAGGCAAAACACTGCAAACGACATTGAATGGGGTGCCTCACGTGACGTCTACCAGACTTGCATATATCTCTCCGACTTCCCCCCCCCCACCCCCCAAAAGAAAAAACATTGCACAGAAACTAACTGAATATATAACTGTATGTGCTCCAATGTCAACTCCTTTCGAAGTAGCCTTTAGGCAAAAAATAATGGTCACTAGAGCTTAAAGTTACATGAAGAGTGAAATGCAACTTAAAATGGCCTCCTAACTAGTGAAATGTTTTCAACAGTGAACCTCACTTTAACAATAAAAGGCCATAAATATTAACAGATAAAAATACTGCAACATGGCACTTTTTACTCAGGTCACCAAGTTTAGTCCCAAAATCATTTCTTCTCTTGTACGGTGTAGCAATGTTTCACGTAATAATTATAAAAGTAAATTATAATTATCATAAAAATTATCCCAGAATCCTTTGAGGCAATTTTTTTGAAAGCTTTATAGACCACAACAAGATAACATTTGCCATAAAATATCTTCTCATGTCACATCTAGGGTGATGACGTCATGTGCCACGTGACCATTGCTGAATTAGGAGTTTTTGTTGCTGTGATTTCATCATTGGGTTAAAATAAAATAGCATATTAGAGGTTTTGGTTGTGTGGAGCATTTAAAAATAACCAGTTTACGCCCGGAATTTAAAATTTAAGGGGGCAATGAACATGAGCGAAAAAGTCGGGAAACTAGGCCGAGAGCTGTAGAGAGTTGACGTTTCATCACATGGCAGAGAAAATTTGCAGGAAAGTAATATTCTACCTGGCAATTTTTTCCTTTACCAAAAGAGGGACATGACGTCATCAGTCACGTGATCAGAGCGTTTTGAATATTTTAGTTCACATTTAAAGGACCTGTGTCACGAAATTCAGCCAAATTAGGAAATTACAAAATACCCGTTAATTAGGAGAAACATAAAAATAACCGCTTATAACTTTAAAGGAAGGTTAAAATAACAGAAACAACAGATGCCACGGATTGGCAAAACTGAAGAAGATTGAAACGGATTGAAATTAGGGTTTTTGAAAACTGTTCAGCGTAACAGTTTTTCAAAGTTGATCCCCGCTGCTTGCAACTTCAAAAATAATGCTCAGGAGACATATCTGTTTGTCTCGGATCTCTGGTTTTGTCATTTACCTGTAATTTCTTTGCTTACTTTCAGTTCCATAGCGATTGAGGGCGAGTAATTGGCAAAATTAAACAAAATGATCTGGACTGATGTGACACAGCCCCTTTAAAGTGCATTTTTCGCCATAAATCTGCAAGTTTGTTTCCTCTACAAATCTGTACACTGTATTACCCCTGAGTAATTACTGTTCCATTTTCAAAGCAGAGGCAAACGAAAACGGAGCCAGAATTTTAAAAGTTGCGTAAATCGACCGATATTGCAAATTAAAATCGGAAAGGAGACCTACTTTTGAGACTTTTGTAAAATCCTTTTTCAACTTAACTATTTGTTTGCCAAAATAAATGTTCAACGTTTGCTAACAAAGGAGAACTTTCAAAGCTAAAAGGATATATTTGGCGGCCATATTGTTTTTCTTCATTGCGGGAGAGAGATCATGTAGCACTTCTTCTAACGCTAAAAGCCAAATGGTTTGCTACCCTAAACTAAAACAATGGAAATAATGATAAACAATGTTGTGTTAATGTTTCCTGCGACCGATGAAAATACACCTTATGGGCAGGGAGAGAATCGTACGGTCATACTGTTCAGTCGGTAGCCGCGAGATCGATAGTTCATAAATTTCTTAAACGTTCCCCGGCATGGACCAAGCCTGAAAGAGTATTAATGAGTTTATTGTGAGCTTTACGCCTGGCTTCGATCAGTTAAAGATTTAATTCTACACGAAAACTGAAAAAGTCAATCATTTTTAGTTCTAACGTATTCGGAGAGTCCGGGTTCGAATCCCCTCGAAGCAAATTTTTCGTGACCTTATTTTTTTTCTTCTTCTTTTTTACTCTCTTTTTTACCTGTGTGGTCCTACCCTGCGAATGATGTGGTAAATAATTGAAAGCAAAATTAACAGGAATATAAAAAATGCCATATGCATCATAGCGTATCTTTTGAGGAATTTTGTTGTACCGGTATTTATAGTAATACTGAACATCTAGACACTGTAACCATTTCCCAGTTCAAACGTCGAATTTCACATGTGCCTAATTTAATTCGAAAAGTAACTGCTTTGAGATGCGACCCTGAATCAACAGTTTCAAATTAAATACGACTTTGCCGAATTTGCGAGTGAATTACAGTCGAAAATTCGACTTGGGTTCAACACTTGATTTAGAAGTCGCATTTCACTTGCGCCGGATATAATGCATAAATTATGGAAACCCTTATTCATATTGGGTAACAATTTCTTTTCTACAGACTGGGAATATTTAAATTCGGGCACCATTATATCCGACGTCTGAATCAACTGCCGTATTTAATTATTTTCTTAAACTAAAATAGGTGTTCGACACCATAAGAAATTCCACGTTTGAAAGGGGCCTAACATGACATAAGTTTTAGGTTAGTGGTTTGCAGGCTGTTCGCTTTTAAGCTAGTTGTTTTTTTTTTCTTTTCAGTAAGAGCAATTCATACCTCATCCATCCATTTTATTAATCGGCTTGTGCCACGACTTAAGAATCAGCTGTAATAGTTGATTTTGTATGTCACAGCACATGATTTGTATATAAAAATGAGCGATCAATTTTTATCCACTCATTTCAATAAAAGCCGAATGGCATCACTTGTCACTATAACGGACAACCTCGAACTGTGACTTCGTATAAATTTGCGGCACCGAAGAAAGACAAAAAAGCTATAGCTAACCCTTCTTGACCAAATTATTTTTAGGTTTAAGCTTTATATAGTGTAAAATAATTATAATTTACTTTGACCGGTATCATTTGTAATAATAATAATAATAATAATAACAATAATAATAATAATAAATGTCTTTATTTCGCCCGTTATAATACATAACAAACGTTACAGAGAGTGAAGTATACAGTTCGGGAAAATCGCACAGATCATAATCATTCTTTCAAACAGCAAAAGGAAAATCAGCTCGTCATCACAAAGAAAAACAACGAGCCTAACCAGAAATTGACTTAAATATTGGTCGGTGAGTGAGTTCAATAAGAATGCGAAGATGGTTTCAAAATCCTTGAACAAGGTTATACCTGAAGCCATTTTAATGTTTTTTCAGTGATGGTTATTAAAACTTCTTTAAGCCATACCTTCCATGGAGGGTAAGTACTTGTAGACAGCTTGCAAGTTTTTTTAAATGGCATTTTTTCAAACGGAGCGAATGCAAAATCTTGTGTATTTGAAAAAAAATAAACCGACGGGGTAGACGTTCTGCATAAATTCCTTGCACTATAAGGAAGTTAAATCGGTTTAAACGAAGATTATTAAAACAGTATTAGTTTATTTATACATAAGCTTACATTTAGCTTACATTATTTATCAAATTATTCAGTCACATAAAGAAAAACGTACGCACATTTCACTCGACAAGAAATCGAACACAGAATTTTAGACAGAAGATATACTGAGCAGTTTAAACTCCATTTCATAGATGAAAACAAAGAGTAAAATAGAATACTAAGAAGCCGGATAATTAAAAGGAATAAAATATTGTTATTTTAACAAACTTTACCCTTTTCAAGCTTCAAAAGTTTACATCTTCTTTTGACTTCGTCCTTTTTTTCTTTCTCCTGTTAAGTACGATCAGCTTTTCCCACAATTTTGTTGTTTGCAACAGATATCCCTTTGGCTTACTGGTAAAGTTGAAGCTTTGAAATTTTACTTTTTTGAAGATTTCTATCGTTTTCCAGCGATTGGCCATGATACAGTTTTTAGGTCATCGTGCGCTACGAGAATCGCGTCCTCCGCTACAGGAATCGCATAGCGAGCGACGCGATTCGCGTCTCGCGAGAGGGTGGTAACTTACTTTTGAGCGGTACTGTATTGCACATGTGCCACTGACCAAAAATAAGCTTAAGATGAATCAGAGTTTAAGTTTGCGGTGCCAAGAAAGATGATTAGCACAAATCCAAGATTAGTTACTGTGACAAAGAAGACATGTACACTCTGTTTGGAATTAACTCGAGATTTAGACTGCATAGGCCCGGTTCAGACGCTGAACTTTTCATGAGCCAAACCTAATACATTGAATTAAGTTCATGAAAAGTTCGGCGTCTGAATCAATTTGAGACGCCTATTTCAATTTAGAACGGCTCAGTCGTTCTTTTCCGCTAGCCTGGTCGGGAATTCCGCCTTTGGAGCGACTTTGGAACGGCTTTGATTCAGACGCCGTACTTTTCATGTACCAAACCTAAAGCATAAATTATTATAATGTATTTTGTAAGCAGTTTAACTGATTAGAGCTTTTTACGCCTAATAAACATACTTCAACTGCAATAAAGATCGGCGTCTGAATCAATTCAGCCAGTCTAAATAATGTGGGTTGGCCTTAATTCGAATTAGGTTCGGCTCACGAAAAGTTCAGTTCCGCATCTGAGCCGTGCCTTAGAATGAGCATCTCAGCCAAGAGGAATTTAAAGACAAGATAAAATCAAAATAACAGCCATATTTTTCGGCTGCCTTGAGGGATGGTCACAGATAGTGGACAGGACCTTACTTCCTTATTTTATTCATTAATGAACAAGGGACAATATGAATGATAAAATCAAAATCTTTCGTTTATGACAAAGTTACATTGTAAGGTCAAAGGTGCAGAACTGTTCTAAAAAAAATGTATCACAAAACAAACATAAATGAATACACTATCTTTCAGGAGATAGGCTAATAATCAAACTCACACGACTAAAAAGCGGTGACCTCATTCACTGAAAGAATTTACGGAATATTTGATGTCTTCCTAAGCAAGAATGACAAGAACATCAAAAATAAATAATATAAATGAGCTAATAGTAAGATCCAAGCGTTTAAACAACGCTAACAAGAGACGGCAAAAAATACCGATAGCCAGTCAAATATTCCTATGTAAGGATATTGAGCGAAAGAACGTAAGACAACAGTGATAGAAACATCGCCATTTTACTTTTGGAAAAAGCGGTCAAACGCTACGCTGAGTGCATGTAAAACTTGGGCTTAATGTAAACATATTATGAAACCTTATACATGTGGCTGGTATCAACTTTCAATGAATAGAAAGAAAGAAAGGAAGCAAAAAAGATGAGTAAACATTAAGTAAAAAGTATGTAAGTTTCCGACTAAACAAATTTAAAGTAAGCTTGCATGTGAAAGCTGACAGGCAATTCTTGGATTGTATGGTTCAAAGTACAAGCTAAGCTTGTACTACAGCTGTAAGTTTCCGTTACGTTAGCAGAACCGAGAAACTACGTTCTCAACCTTAAAAACGCTACTTAATAAGTAAAAACTAGTTTCCTTACCCTTAAAGAAAAATATTTTTTCGCCTGTTCTTTCCTCATTTTGTCGCCGAGTTCCTTTAATTGTTCCTCGGTCATCTCTCCTCGCAACGAAGGTTGCGACTGAAATGGTGCATGCTTTACCTCGACCTCTGGCACTTTCGTTGCTTCGTTTATTTCAACATTGGACAAATCAGCTGCAGATGTGCTTCCGCTAGCTCCTTCAGCACCCATTGGTGATGCACTGTTCGACACAGAAGACATTTCTATCCAGAATTCTTCACAGAAATTTCAACTTCAAGGATAAGAGTTTTGCCACCTCCTTACGTTGCCAGTCATTTTATATTTGGCAAACTACGTCGTTTAATGTAAATTAAGTGTGATCCTTGTGCCCCAGTCTCCCACCCCCAGTAAGACAATATGACATTTTCTTTCTCTCTTAATTTTCCCATTGAATCGGGCGTCAGGATTATCAGCCGATATATTCAGTTTCCTCCGCACTTTTATTAAGCATGCCTGTCCTTGAGATTAGTTATTAGCTCGGGTGAGGATCTTAAAAACGTTTCCGCAAAAGGACCCATTTTGATCGTCTCATTGGGCATGTTACGGTCATGATTATTATCTCCAGCAAAGTTTAACCTTTGTATTCTTACCCCAGAGACAGAACAGAAATGAAAAATATTTCACACCGTCAAGCATGACTTCGACTCTCCAAAAGGCACTTAACCAGCTTCTTTCAAAGTGACATGTTTCTAAAAATACAAACAATCTCCTCTCCTCGTACAAAGTCATGTTCCCAAGTACAAAGTCAACTATACATCTACCTGCGGCCAGGGTTTAATCAGGTCGTAGAGAGCTTCCTTGAGAGTTCGATTCCCGTGGTTGACCAATAATAACCAAGTAAGAATGCCTTTGAACTAAAGATGCTAAAAAGTCAAAAGTTCTCGATTACATCCGCCATTACTGACTTTGGCGATCTTTCTGCAACTGGCCCCTGCAAGATTTACTGTTCCTGAGAAAGAATTTGCCCCGTTGAATGACAGATGTACTCATTGGCTTTGGCTGAGAGAATATGAAAATATGATGATTTAGTTCAGGTGAAAAACATAATTAGAAAACACTCCCTTCTTTAAGACAAAAAGGTGGTACCAAAGGAATAACATTTCCAACGCTATCAGTATAACTCAGTAGGGGAGAAAAAAAAAATGAGGGAGGGAGGAAACTGGCGGTTGCCGAAAAACCAACAACATGCTCTAAATTTGCCATGTAAAAGATCTGTGTAAAACTCAGTGAAAAGTAGTCTTTTTAAAAGTGTTACTCAAGGAACATTTGCAACGTAGGCCATAACAGTTATATTTGAATGAGTGGTCTCTGATCAGCTGTCTGATGGAGTGGATGTTCAATGTCTGGTAAAATTTTATTTTCTGTAGTATCGATTGGGTTGACGACCCTCGAAGGGCCCAAAGTTAAGAAACACTTACCGGGTACTTCCCGTTTAAGCATTGTGAGAACAAAATTTTACAGCCTATGCCGAGAAGAGCAAAATTAATTCAAATAGTCAGGAACATTTTTGCTTGAAGGGGGAAACTGAAATTGTTGTTTTCAAACTTAGTCATGTTAGAATGAGCAATTTTTTGCAATATTATATTGGCAAGTTCAGCCAGCGCCTTAAAAAAGTGACCATGAAGTAAAAGCTATGAGGAATGAAGTTCGGAACTTGAATCTGGACGTAAAACTTGCCCTCTGTCCACAAGAAAAGAATTGCTCTGACAAAGTTGCGCATTAGCAATATCAATTATCAAATCTAAAGAGGTTCCGTTAAAAATCATCGACATAAATCTATTGCTCGACTTTCTAGTCGAGGGGGGTAAATAATACGGATTAAAGGATTTAGAAAGCATATACTTAATTAGGATTTTCCTTTCTGCAAGGTATTGTAAGGAGATTTATGCGGATTACGTGTTAAAGTTTTATATGGATGTTTCCAAAACTTCAATTCACTTTTATTTTATCATAAGACTGACCTTCGGCTCAAGCTAACAGCATAATTGGTACAGATTTTTCTTTTAAACTTTCAAAAAGTGATAAACTTAGCTGTGTATCAGAGTGGCTGTTTATAATCATCGAGAAACAATAGCTGGGATTGAATACCTTCTATTTAAGATCTAAATTAACCTAACTCCAAAAATTGGACCGTTAAGTGAATATCAAGTACTAAGAAAAGCACTGTTCAGGCTATGTATTAATTGTGAGAGTAGGTTAGCTCGTTGTCCTTGAAATGTAATGACAGAATAGCCCTTTTAACCACTTGTCGTGGGTGCTAGCTCATATTTGTTATTTCACCCGAGTGGGACTGGGAGGAAGGTTTGTTCAGGGGGGTTCCGCCATGAGGTCTAGCATCTCATTTATAAACCATGTTTTACAGAAAAGGGTACCTCTTCCCTATATACATTTCATTAAAGGATAGAACCCTATCACACCACTTAGCTTACGAGTTTCTAATTAGGCAGTGAAACGTTTTCTTATGAGTTAATACTTCAGTACAGCAGGTTCTTTCACAGTTGAACGCAATGCCGGGTGAATGCAGGTACACGGTAAAAACCCGCAAGTAAGGACTTGGTCTTTAAGAACCTATCTGGCTGAAATTTGCTAGTTAGGCCCCCTAAAATTTGAAAGAGGTACTTATTTTCCAAAATGGACAAAAAAAAAATTCTGTACATTTGGGCAGATCAGATTAGTCAACATTCAGAATTCTATAATTGGAGACATGCAACGTATTGGTATGCAGATTTTATCTATGGGACTGATAAGCTGAATACCACTTATTCTCTTAGCTGCAATGTATTTGTATTCTTCAGAAAATAAGAACTTGTTTAAGGACCTGATTAGCCTAGATTTTTATGCTAATTACCATTTATGCAAGAACTTTTTTAGGGTGATTTATCTAATAAGTGTGGCTCAGGTTCAGTTTAAAGTCGGTTTTATGTGCTGTAACAATAGACAGAAGTTTTTAATAAAAGCAGCAATTTACTGTTGACAAACAAACACAGCAATGTTTGATGGTCATGACGATATCGAATGAAAATAAATCTTTCTCATTTATTCAACGAACTTCAAATTTAACATGGGTGCTTCCCATCACGCCCTGTTTATTTCTAGAATGGTTTTCCTGGGAAAGAGGGCCACCCTCCCAGCTAAGTCGCATTTAGCTACAATCGGCGACAAAATTATTGTTGAGACATTGTACTCAAATAGGGTAACTACGGAGAACAAAAGAATCCACACCTCTCTCCCCTCTCCTTTATTCAAAGTTGGGTTGCATGAAGGGGACGGGGGAGGAAAAGCTTTATTTTCCACTGTGGAAGTCAGTAAAACGTCAGAAAGCCCCCTTTAGGACGAAGTGTCTCAAATAAATTTTGTCGCCCATTGTATCGTTAATATGAGAAAAAAGTTAACCGCCTAGCCATGTATGCATGCTCTGATTGTCTCACCTCGACCAAGTTGACCAGGCTGGATGAGCCAACGTGTTTGTGACCCTACCATCGGAAAAGGGTGACTCGGAAAGGAGAGACTGAACTTTTTGTTTCTTGTAAAACGTTCTTATGAATACCATTCAAGCAACTAGGGCCAGCTGTTCAGAGACACCCCTAATGTGGGGCAAGGAGTTTTTCTGCCTTTAAAAGTTAACACTGAAAAACTGAACTGAATTCAAAAGGCAAGGTTTTCAACACAGCTGCTCGTGCATAACGTAGCGTCGCTGCAAAAAGCCTAAAAATCAATTTGAAAAATTCCCCATACACACGAGTATTTTTCAGCTAGGTTGTCTGGTGTGAAACGTTACGTCGCATAAAATAAGAAAAAATAGTGAGCATAAGCAAAGACGTTTTCCAGCGACGCACATCAACCGTGCAACAGTACGAATTATCCTTAACATTACGATTCAGGCCTATTTTAGGGCCTGTTTACGTGGAGGTGGGGGACCCCAGATAGGTGCGGTAACATGCGGCGGGTCACCCTACCTATCATGTAAACGTGATCAAATTAAAATGAGAGATTATATGGACAGGCGGGTTACCCACCAAAGCGGTTACCTCACCTACCTGGGGTCCCCCACCTCCATGTAAAAAGGCCCTTAGTGAATTTATATTGGGTCATCAGAGCATAACGGTGCTAATACACTCCCACCAAATTTGCAAGCACTAATAGACTTATTTTTGGCAATGGCCTGTATTTTGTCTCATTCTTGCTGAATATGCCAACCAATCCTATAATTCTAAAAAACTGGATTTTTACGTCACACTTCTCTGTAAAAACAGAGGGTATCATGCAATATCTGCTTCATTATACATGTACGGCAAAGTTTGGTACATTTTATTGTATGACGACAAAATAACATCTAATTGTCCTATCTTGACTTGAGGTCTTATTAACGGCCCATACAGTAAATGCAAAAGTTGTATAGTAGGCATAAAATAAACCTTTTTTGCGGAGGAATCTTATAAACTTGCGGGGGAATACATTAACGCCAATGACGTCATCAGCTTTTGTCCATATTTCATGTCGAATCAGTAAAATGCGTCATGATGACGTTACTGTTCTTTGCCTTGATAGCATGAATAAAATGCGGGGTAATCTCACTAAGATAAGGTCACTTGCTGTTTTTAGGGAAATAGGTTGTTTAGTCATTTTTAGGTCCATGAATGCCTCCCTTTTTCGCTGATTCACGTTGTCCAAGAAATACGTTGATAGCTTACGTTCAATATATTAAAATTCCAACATGACTCCTAGGCTTTCTGGTCATTTTTCAACATTTGATTTGGTTTTCTTTCCTCTAAAGTCTCCTCTGGGGAGTCTTGAAAAACTTGCAATTTTGACCCTTAAGCCTCGGAGTCATAATAGAATTTTAATATGTTGAACGTGGGCTATTCTCCTGTGACTTAAATGACCTAGGGGGAAGGATTTTAGGGGGCATCACTTGATTTTTAGGAGAACAAAAAGGGGGGTCAGTCGTAACTGAGAACCCAAAAGGGGGGATCGCTAACAACTTTGGAAGGATTCAGAGGAAGGACCACTCAAATTTGCTTAGAAAATGAAGACATGGGTGGGGGGTGGGATCGCGAAAGTCACCAAAAGTTATCAGGGGGGATCACTTCAGTGAAGTAACATTCAAAGAGAAGATCGCCTAAATTTCACCTTGTTTAGCCCCAAATCCTGCGCTCCGTCCCTCCCCCACACACAAACTCCGGCGATAAATAATGACCGCTCCCTTAGCGTAGTGTCACTTTCACTAAAGTTTTTATTACTATGAATAATACTCTGACTGGTCGCTTACGAGAGCTTAAAATAAAAGGAATAGTTCTGGGGGGTAATCCCAAAAGTGGTCGCAGTCGCTTATGGGAGCGGTCGCTTACGAGAGCTTTTATTACAAAGTTTGAGTCAGTTCGAACGGGGTTTCACAAAGGTGGTCGTAACTGGAACTGGTCGCTTACGAGAGTGGTCGCAAGGAAAGCTTCGACTGTATTCTCAGACTGTCCAATGTTTTGAGTATGTAAAATGGGGATATCTTTTATAACCAAGGTATCAGGCGAGTGCCAAAGGGGAGAGCCGCTAGATGGGATCTGGGGGCATGCTTCCCCAGAAAGATCTGAAATTTTGATCCTTTGAACAGCCTTTTCTGGTGTTCTGAGAGGACAATTTTAGTCTAAAATGCTCGCTAAATCGATTGTCATTTTTATTATTATCAGTTATATTTCCATGGCTTCGCTTACAAGTCACGTGACTGGATTTTATATTTATTTTTTATGAGTGTGCAATGCCCGTTAGCTGCAAATACCTTATAAAAACACGCGAAAAAGGGGAAGTGTCCCCAAGCCTTTTGGCCACGATTGTAGGTTTTCATTATAAAAATGAGTGATTTACTATTGACAAGTGAACACAGCAACGTGTGACGCCTATGAACATCCGGCGAAAATAATATCCTAAATCATTTAGCACCCCCCTTCCTCACCCCCTTTTAATCCATCTGTTCAGTTTACGCCCCCAATACAGCCTCCTCCTCAGGCGCTTCGTTTTTCTCATCGTAGAGGCGAGCGCGAAACGCGAGTGACTGGTGATGAACCGCAAGGGACCATGGGAAGGCTACAGACGGCAGGCGAAGCGCTGTCTCGCCCGTTGTCTCCTTCCCGCCTTCCTTTACGCGCACATTTTCATCGAGAGAGACGTCTGGGTACGAGGCAGCCCCCAATATTAGAGACCTTTAGCATCAGGTAAACCGCAAACCGCAAACCGCAGTTACGCGTTTGCAGTTTCGCGTTGCCGAGATTTCAAACTTTAGCAAGGCGTTCAGTTCAGTTCATTTTTATTCAGCCAAAATACAATACAATGCAAGAATTTATATAGCAATTGTAAGGTTGCAAGTGAGCCCAGAAGGAACCAGAAGGCTTTATGAAGCCTGGGCTCCCCAGTCTATAAAAGAGATAAGCAAAATAAAATGATATTCGCGGAGTGATACGTTAAAAATAGGAACCAAACAGAGACTGAGTTAAGTTATGAATTCAGAAACAAGATAGAAAAAAAAAATTAACTCTGGATTGGAACAGAATACTTTCCTTTGTTACTACGGCAGAAAGGAATATAAAATTGATTTGAACTACGCGTTCATTGTTTAGGGCCGCCATGTTGTTTTCATCAAGTCGAAGTGCATCACTTTAATCGCCCAAAACTCAGCAATAATTCATTGATTCGAGATCAAAAATCCAACAAACACATCGCAAACGGATACAAAAAGCTAGTTCATACCTTTAAAGGCGAGACTACAATTTTTTGTGGCAAAAACCCTTGCCGTAAATCACTCACCGCTGGAAGCCCTTCCTGCGGTTCAAACGTGAACTGCAAACTGCAAACGTGACCGCAAGGCCGTGGTCACGTGACATTTTGCGGTTTGCCGTTTCCCACGAAAAACCTGATGCTAAAGGTCCCTATTAATAAATAATAAACTTGTTCACCAATCAGGGCAGAAAGACTTCATGCTACAGACTGACTCAGTATGGCTTATTCACGTTTTTGATCTTCAGCTGCATGACCTCCAAAATATCTGAAGCAGTAAACAGGGAAGTCAACCGCTTCAACTTGATTGCAAAGATCATGCGCAAGGAGTTCAACCATGCGGTATCAAGGTGTGATTGGTTCAATGATGCCTCGCCTGTCAGTCAAAGTGCACAGCGCGCGATTAAATCAATCACAACCTAACCATGTGAGTTTACTATTTGCTCGTGTTAAACAGCTTTGGGAATCATCTTATGGTGTAGACGTTTCCCTCGCACCTTTTTTTAAAACAAGTATTTGAAATGTGACAGAATATATATGTCCAAACAAGTAACGCGCCACTTTCCCTGAAGAGTTCACTTAAGGTCGCCTTAATCTATTCAGCACAACGAATAATAAAAGTATGAAAAATGTTGTCAAAGATACGCTAGAATTCATAGCCAAAAAGTGACTGGCTAAAATTTATTAATTCATTTCTTTAGTTGATGGGAAATTATTGATTACAATGATTTACAACTATGGATAAAACATACAGTTCATGCAAATACAAAATGATCTTCATTATTAAAGCCTTGTTGTCAGCGGTGACGCAGGTCAATTAGACCTTATAACAGACAAATATTTTAAAAACTTATTCAAGTTAAATACTCACCCGTTGACACTTAATAAACAAGCAACACAATAAATAAGGTGCTACGGTTTTGGTTACACTAAAACTAACAAAACAATTCTTAGCTGTCTACTTTTTCTCAGGTAGTGTCATGCCTTTCTACTCCAAAAGAAAACACACACTGTATAAACAGAAAAAAAAAATGCAAATTTTGTAATGCATTGTAGCTGTTTTTTGATTAATAGAGGTTGAATATCCGCAGACGTTTCAGAAAGTAAAATTAAACCTATCGCCCTTACAGCTGTAAAAGAAACCGTGTCGTTATAAGCAAAACCGCGGCATTTTATTTTTCATCAACTTTGGTAGCACCCAGAACGTTTTATTAGTGGAATTTATGGCGTTTTTTGGTTTTAACCTGGAATATAATTTTTAATGTGTGTATCTACTTCATTGTACTCCTTGATAATTTTTCCTTACATCGTTTCCTTTTTTCTGTACTGCAAAAGACTCAATTTGACGGAATAACTTTCAACGCCATATTATCACTATTCCCTAATTGTCAAGTTACGATATAACAACTATATACTGCATTACAACATGACAAGTTTCATTCCTGCTTCTTATCTTTGCAGATTTTTTTCTTGGGAAACAAACTTTGAATTATCTTTGCAGTCCAGACTTTAGCAAATGATCAAACCTCAATGTCCATACATAAACAGGAAAAGTAATAAAATCCTTCAATCACATATATATTTTTAGGTTATTCTTTAAAATGGACATTGTTAAAAGAAAACGTTACCGCGGTCTTTGCAAAAACCGAGCTTGCTTTGATTATAAACCAAGGCGCTCAACCCAATGTAAACATAGATTTCTAACTCTGCCTCCACCACTTCAAAACTATTGAGAATTTCCCTGTTCGGTTCCGTTTCACGGGCGTTGGTTATTGCGTCAATGAGAGCCTTGCTGAACAGGCTGTGCTGCACAGCTTCGGGTGGAGACTCAACGAGCGCACTTTGCACGTGACTGGTTAACGAGATGTAAGGCATTTCGTTTGACCATGGGTTCCAGTTCTGGAAGAAGCTGGGTTCTTGATGCGAGTAGAAAATGCGCAAGCCGGACTGTTTGGAGTGGGGACTGTTGTCCGCGTAACCAGTGATCCTACGGGGAGAAAAAAGGCCAACAATGAATGCTCAACTGATGCTGTTCAAACAGTTGAACGCTTGTACTCTGTGCATGATTTACACCAGTTTTGTCTATTTTTGGAGCTTTCGGCCCCTTTCTTGTTGGGCGGAATGACTTCATACACACACTATACTGAATGGCGGCTCGCGTTCTTTTCTTTCAACCTTTGGAAGAGAAATTCGATAGTAGATATTGTATTAAAGATTTCAAGCCACTTTTCTTTTTCTTTTCCTCTATTTCGTTATACCATTCAAACAAAAGCACCAAGCCATGACTTGCTTTACAATGTTCGTGTGAATTGAGGCCAGCAAAATTGTGTAAATAAGGATCAGCGCACGATGTACTTGATCTTCTAAACTGGAACCCACGTCACGTGGCCAGTCGAGGTGGTGAGTCAGAGGATATGATTAAAACGACTGGGGAGGACAACATATTTAGCTGCGAAATTCTTTAGTGACATGTACTTTCTACAAGCTCTAACTAAGTATGACATTAACAAAAACCTGATTTTTAACGCACGCATTTTTCAACCGAGTACTAACATGCATAAATAACTGACCACTTATTATGTTACTATACATGTACATGTACTTATTATTAGAATATTATTAACACGTTATCAAACTATCCACTATCCACTATTCTTACGTATTCTTTTTTTTAGTAAGTTAGTATTACAAAAGAAAATAATCGGTTGATTACTCCTGAATTAAATTTTGCTCACAAAGATATGAGTACTTTAAGGGTACGTGTATCTTAAAATGAATTAACTTAAAAACGCCTTCATGTATTTAAACACTGTAGCGCACATACGCGTTGTTCACAAACTAAAACCACGACATCCAAAGCCCTAAAATCCAAACTTTCCCCGATCACGGTTAAACCCTAGGATGCCATAGTTATGAACTATCGGCGAAAACCCACAATACACTTCAATTAGTATTGGTTCATTGTGCGCAATCTCGAGAGATTCTTGCGCCACGCCTTCTTGAAGTGCATTGTGGGCCTCGCTGATGGCTTGTATAATGGCCTGCTGAAATGGATCGAGCTGCATGTGCGCAGGTAATCTGGCCACGACGTCATTGCCTCTGTGCCAAGCAAACGTGACAAAGGGGATTGCACGTGACCATGGATTCCAGTTTTGAAGAAATGTTGGTTGGACGTTTTTGCCAAAGTAGACACGCAATCCAGTTTGGAAGTGCCGCGGACTGAAAAAGAGTGTGCGACAGTCCTTTAGAGAAATTTTTCCTGCTCTTTGCTCTATTGTTCTATTAGAGAAGACTTTGTTTTTTCTAACGTGTTTCTGGATGCATGACCAACTCAAGAAAATTTGTTGACGTTGCTGTTGTACTTTTTAACAATATTTTTATATCCTAATGCAGTATTGGATATTTCTCATATTTTCGTTTGACTTGATAAAGCCGCGCTCATCATTAATTTAATTTTCTCTGAAAAGGTTACTTTGTGTGCGTCAATCTGTAACTGCTGAGTTTGATTTTGGTTCTCAAGCTCTGCTAAGGGTTTTTCCTCCTGGTTCTTCTCCAGAGGACTTTCTCCCTCACATAATTCAACACTTCCAATTTTCACTTTAATTGAGAAATTTAAGGCCACAGGCCTATTACTCTGCAAGGACTATGTGCTACCCTCATTTTATTTACCAAATGTATTCACTTATTTATTTTTCATGTTCATGAAAATATGTGTAACATGTAATTAACTAAAAGACATGTATCAGGCATGAGACAGTGTTTCATCACCAGAAGAAACAGTGAGAAGAGAGTTTAAAATATGACGCGCAGTACAGAGTATTTTTGATGAACTTCGAGGTGTTTCATCTGGTGATGTAACACTGTGTCAAATGCTTGATAATGAGTCGTTTTTCATCTGATTTCCAAACACTCATTAAACATTAATTTCCTTTGTATTCTCTTTAAGAATTATTAATGAGTTTGAGAAGAGATAATCCATATCAAAGGGCAAGAGTTACTCATAAGAGGGGCCATGCCTTAGCATTAATTTCCTTTGTTTTTTTCTTTATGAACTATTAATGAGTTTGAGAAGTGATAATCAATACCAAAAGGTGAGAATTATGCATAAGAGGGGCCCTGCCTCAGCAGAGCCTAACGCTCCCTGGCAATCAAGTTGCTTTTGCCCCAGGGAGATGTCCAGGACACAGTCATTAGCTCTTGAAACTCATAATATGGAAACAGTAGTTTTATAGGTTTAAGAGCATTTGGCCTCCATACCATTTTTCCAAAGCAAAGCCTTGAAGAAATGTTGGCACTAAAAGTACCAAAGTAGAAAAGTTACTGTACTCACATCATCATGGTGGTTTTAGGATACACAAATCTGCCAATCTGTATCTTGTCACAATTGATCAATGGCACTTTTCTCATCTCATCAACTTTCAACCCAATGAAATTGTACTTAACCAAGCAAAGGGTCTTCTTGGTGATAAGGACAATCCTTTCTTTTTCATGATCCCAGTGGTCAATTCTGCAAATTGAATTTATTATAATATTAGTAACAGTTTCAAAGGAACACACCAGTTTAGAAATGAAAAGGGGACTGAAGCAGAAAAAAGTGTCCCACAATTGTTTCTAGGATTCAAATACAAATAGTTATGGTGAGTCCTGGCACCCATCTTGTGAAAAAAAACAGTGACTAAATTGACCTAAATTGACCGTCTGGTTACATAATTTAAGGCCCAAGCATTTTCAATTTTGGTCTTTTTTTTAACTGGAACTCATTGGTTCTGGACTGGAACTCATTACTTTTATCATAAGATGAGTCCCAGGACTCACCATAACTACTTTTGTATTTGTAACAAAATCACTGCAGACCTCAGCCTTGATGTATTGACCTCGCTATTGCTTGGTCAATACATCAAGGGCCTTGGTCTGAGATTTCCCTGTGTAATGACCTCACTCTCATTTCTAAGCACTATATAATTAATTTTGTCATATAAAAAACATAAAAACATACAAAATAGACCAAAAAAACCTGAACTGAAGTTGAACTCCAGAAATGGATGAATATACCAAGCAGAATAATAATACTTTGGTTGGTAATGCACACATGAATTCCCAAATCATGTCAAGAGGACAATAGCAAAGCAGTTCAAACTTCTCAAAAACATAATTATTTTGATAAACTGAAATAATTTATTAATGCACCAAGGGAAGTGATCTGGAAAAAATGTGAGGTCATCCTCCACCAAAATAATGGTGGGTAAATTGTGGGTATTAACTTTATGGCCAAAACCTCTAAAATTTCTTAACCTAAACTTCTTCCTTAGCACCTTACACAAATAGACTGTTTACAGGTACAACACCCAAAGGAGGATCATGAGGTTATCCCTAAATGTATATTAAGATCTCTCCAAGTTACAGATAACCCACCCAGCCCAGGAAGGGTCAGCCACACCAAGGGGGTCTATGTCCCCTACTCTTTTCAAACAGTGATGTGGGTTCTTTTACCTCTCATAAGAACCAGATAAGAGAAATTGCTGTGAGACAGGACCTAGTTTTTCGTCTTCATCCGAGAAGACTAGAACGTCTAACTGTTTGCAGATGTCATTACAAGGCAGCACATTCTTCTCAGTTATTTAAAGACTCTGAGTGTTGGTCTGCCCAGGGTTTCAACCTGTGTCCTCCCGCTCAGCAGATCGGTGCTCTCCCAACTGAGCTAACCAGGTGGTGGTTATCTTGAAGCATGATGTGAGGTTGCAACATAAATTAATACCCAGTAAGATATGCGCCAATGTCCTGATTTCAATACATGTAATTCAGCTTTCAATGAACAATGTAAAGAATCCACAGAGCCCCACGACATTTGACCAAGAAGCAAAGGAGCCCAAATCAACATTCTCAAGGTCATTATGATGAGAAATTTGTATATCTCATTTACATTTAATGTGGAGGCCAGAACAAATACTTTGATTTCACTTACTCGCTTAACAGCCAAGAGCTCAAGATTTCCCCATCACTGTCATCCAAATACAACTTGCACTCCTCCACAGCATTGGCAAATGCACCCTCCTGCATAGGACAAATGTATGGCAGTTGAACCTCGATAAACAATACCCAGACCCGAAATACCTGGACTTAAATTTATGGAGTTACAATATAATCACACTTCTTTTCTAATCCCAACTTTTTTCATGAACAATTTTGTTATGAAATTAGTCAACCTGGACATCTGAAAATGTCCTTCCATTCTCAAGCGTTTACTTGGGCAAGGAAACCAAAGTCAACATCATGTCTTAAGGCTAGAATCACAGGCAAAACAATGCTAACAACATTGAATGGGGTGCCTCATGTGAAGTCTGTTTCTACCAGACCTACATGTATCTCCCCTACCTCACCCCCCACCCCCCCCACAATCCTGATGAGTTACTTTTTCTGTGCTCCAAATTCAACTCCTTTTGAAGTAGCCTTTAGGCAAAAAATAATGGTCACTAGAGCTAAAAGTTACATGAAAAGTGAAATACAACTTAAAATGGTGGCCTAACTAATGAAATGTTTTCAACAGTGAACCTCAGTTTAACAATAAAAGGCCATAAATATTAACTGATAAAAATACTGCAACATGGCACTTTTCACTCAGGTCACCAAGTTTAGTCCCAAAATTTTATTTTCTCTTGTAAGGTGCAGCAATGTTTCACAAAATATATTTTATTATATACATACTGAGAAATACTCACCAAAAAGCTATGTCGTAAATTTTCGTACGCACATTAGTTCTAGCCAATCAGAGGAGCGAATGATGGTTTTCACACGTAACAAAAATGATATGTCCAATCAGAATCGCAAACGATGTTTTCTTCACGTGTGAGAAAAATGATACATCCAATCAGAAGCCACAGAGAGGTGTGAGTTTCGCGCCAAAATTCCCGCCTTTTACTGCAGCTTGCAGCGCAACTTTGCACACATTCAACGAGAAAAGTTTTACTCAAAGAGTTTTTCTCGCTTAAAAAGTGAAAAACATTTTGGAAATGGAGTGGAATAGTTTCACTGTCGTTAAAGAAAACGGTAGAGAGCTGGCGAAACAACAGCGGAAAGGGAAAAAAAGAACGAGACGTAAGCTTTTGTTGTGCTTTTTGTGTGCATTGAGAACAAACAGTTAAGATTACTTATAGTTCTTGGATTACCTCATATCCTTACCGTCATTTATGTTTTTAACAAACGTTTTTACTAAAAAGATGATACTTCATTTTCCTTGTCATTTTGCGGTAAGTGTGTAGCGGCAAATGTTAGCATTTTTGAAAAGGTCGCCAAAATGATGAACGTCTCAGTATGTATATATAATAAACACAATACCAAATGGAAAGTGCTTTGTATGGTATGTACGCACTCATTGTTTTTGTATCAGAAATCTTACTTGTTCACGGCGCTCACTCATTGGATTTCGGATGCTTCAACAACTCGTGCATAAAAAACGTATGCCAGCACTTTCCATGAAGTATTCTCTATATACCTGTGCCACTGACCAAGCATAAGGTTAAGATGAATCAGTCAGTTTAAGTTTGCGGTGCCAAGAAAGATGATTGGCACAAATCCAAGATTACATTGTAATTGCCGTGACAAATAAGATATATGCTCTGTTTGCAGTTAACTTGAGATTTACACTGCTTAGGCCCAGTTCAGATGCTGAACTTTTCATGAGCCTAATACATTGAATTAAGTTCATGAAGATTTCGGCATCTGAATCAACTAGGAATGCCTGTTTCAATTTAGAACGACTCATGCACCCGTTCTTTTCGCCTAGCCTGGCCAGGAATTTCGCCTTTGGAGCGACTTTAGAACAGCTTTGATTCGGATGCCAAACTTTTCATGTACCAAACCTAAAGCATAAATCATTATAATGTATTTTGTAAGCAGTTTGAATGACATGAGCTTTTTCCGCCTTTTGAACATAGTTCAGCTGTCATTAAGATCGGCATCTGAATCAATTCAGCCAGTCTAAATAATTTGGGTCGGTCTTAATTCGAATTAGGATCTGCTCATGAAAAGTTCAGCGTCTAAATCGGGCCTTACAATGAGCATCTCAGCCTGGAGGAATTAAAAAACAAGATTAATTAAAATAACATTCACATTTTTAGGCTGCCTTGAAGGATGGTCACAGAAAGTGGACAGGACCTTACTTCCTTATTTTATTCATTTATATGCAAGGGATAATATGCATGATAAAATCGAAATGTTTCGTTTATAAGACAAGTCATTATAAAAATTGTATCACAAAACAAATATCAAGGTAAAAAAAACAAATATAAAACAAAACAAACATGAATGGAAACACCATCTTTCAGGCGATAAGCTAATAATTAAACTCAGATATAACTAAAAAGTGGCGACCTCATTCACTGAAAGAATTTACGGAATATTTGATGTCTTCATACGCAAGAATGACAAGAACATTATAAATAAAAAATGAGCTAATAGTAAGATCCAATTAAACAACACCAACGAGAGACAGCAAAAATTACCGATAGCCAGTAAAATATTCCTATGTGAGGATATTGAACGAAAGAGCACAGGGCAACGGTGACTAAAACACTGCCATTTTGCTTAAAAACCAACTACATGTATTTCCTGAGTGCATGCGAAACTTGATCTTAATGTAAAAATATTATGAAAGCTAATACATGCAGCTGGTATAACCTTACAATGAATAGAAAGAAAAAAAGGGAGAAAAAAAGATGCATAAACATTAAATAAAAAATATATAAGTTTGGGACTAAAGAAATTCAGGGTAAGCTTACATGTGAAAGTTGGGAGGCAATTCTTGGCTCGTGCGGTTCAAAGTACAAGCTAAGCTTGTGCTAAGTTTCCGTTACGTTAGCAGAATCGAAAAACTGCGTTCTCAGCGTTAAAAATCTACCTAACATGAAAAAAAATAATTCCCTTACCCTTAACGAGAAATATTTTTTCGCCTGTTCTTTCCTCATTTTGTCGCCGAGTTCCTTTAATTGTTCCTCGGTCATCTCTCCTCGCAACGAAGGTTGCGACTGAAATGGTGCATGCTTTACCTCGACCTCTGGAACTGTCGTTGCTTCGTTTATTTCAACATTCGACAAGTCCGCTGCAGATGTGCTTCCGCTAGCTCCTTCAGCACCCTTTGCTGATGCATTGTCCGAAACAGAAGACATTTCCATCCAGAATTCTTCACAGAAATTTCAGTTTCAAGGAGAAGAAACCACAGATGTTCTCACCAACTCCTCTCGTTCCTAGTCTTACTGCGAAACTATATTTGGCAAACTACGTCGTTTAATGTAAATGAAGTGTGATCCGTGTGCCCCAGTCTCCCACTCCCACTAAGAAAACTAACTATTTTCTCTCTTAATTTTTCGATTGAATCGGGCGTCAGGATTATCAGCCGATATATCCAGTTTCCTCCGCACTTTTATTAAGCCTGCCAGCTATCCTTGAGATAAGTTAGCTCAGATGAGGATCTTAAAAACGTTTCCGTAAAAGGGCCCATTTTGATCATCTCGTCGGGCATGTTACGATCATGATTGTTATCTCCAGCAAAGTTTAACCTTTGTATTCTTACTCCCGGGTTCTTCACACCCTCAAACATGACTTCGATTCTCCTGAACGCACTTAACTAGCTTCTTTCAAAGTGACATGTTTCTAAAAATACAAACAACGTCCTCTCCTCGTACAAAGTCATGTTACGAAGTACAAAGTCAACCATTCAGTTACCTGCAGCCAGCGCAGAATCAGGTCGTTGAGCGCTGCCTTAAGGGTTCGATTCCCGTGGTTGACCAATAATAACCAAGTAAGAATGTACTGCCTTTGAACTAAAGATGCTAAAAAGTCAAAAGTTCGAGAATACATCCGACATCATTGACTTTGCCAATCTTTCTGCGACTGGCCGCTGCAAGATTTGCTGTCTCTGAGAAAGAATTTGCCACATTCAATAACAGATACCATACTCATTGGCTTTGGCTGAGAGAATATGAAAATATGATATTTACTTCTGTTGAAGAAAAAAAATAGAAAACACTCCCTTCTTTAAGCCAAAAGATGGTACCAAAGGAGCAACATTTCCAACGCACTCAGTATAACTCAGGAGGGGAGAAAGAAAATGGGGGAGGGAGGGGGTTGACGGTTGCGAAAAATCGACAAAATGCTTTAAATTTGCCACGTAAAAGGTCTAAGCAAAATTCAATGAAAAGTAGTCTTTTCAAATTGCGTATTATATAACTGTTACGCAAGGAACATTTGCAACGTGGGTAAAAACAGTTATATTTGAATGACTGGTCTGATCAGCTGTCTGATTGAGTGGATGTTCAATCTCTGGTGAATAAGCCAAGTTCTTGAAATTTTATTTTCTTTAGTATGGATTGGTTTGACGACCCTCGAAGGGCCCAAAGTTAAGAAACTTTTACTAGGTGCTTCCCAGATAAGCATTGTGGGAACAAAAATTTACAGCCTTTGCCTAGAAGAACGAAATCGGTCTTTGTTAATTTAATCAATCAGAAAAATTTTTACTTGAAGGGGGGAACTGAAATTGTTTTCAAACTTAGTCATGTTAGAATAAGCAATGTTTTGCAATATTATATTTCCAAGTTTAACCAGCGCCTTAAAAAAGTAATCATGAAGTAAAAAGCTATGAGGAATGAACTTCGAAACTTGAATCTGAACGTAAAAAACTTGCCATCTGTCCACACGAAATAACAAAAGCTGACAAAGTTGCGCATTAGCCATATCAATTATCAAATCTAAAGCGGTTCATTTAAAATCATCGACATAAATCTATTGCTGGATTTTCTAGTCGAGGGGGCGAAATAATACGGATTAAAGGATTTAATAAACATAAGGCTAATTAGGATTTTCCTTTCTGCTGTAGGGTATCTTAACGAGATTTATGCGGACTTGTTGTACGTGTTACAGTTTAGGTGGATGTTTCCAAAACTTCAATTCACTTTCAAGTTATCATAAGACTGACCTTCGGCTCAAGCTAACAGTATAATTGGTATAGATTTTTCTTTTAAACTTTCAACAAGCGATAAACTTAGCTGTGTATCAGAGCGGCTGTTAATAATCACCGAGAAACAATAGCTAGGATTGAACACCTTCTAATTAGGATCTAACGTTACTCCAGAAAGTGGACCGTTAAGTGAATGTCAAGTACTGAGGAAAGTACTATTAAGGTCATGTATAAATTGTCAATAGGTTGGCTCGTAGTCCTTGAAATGTAATGACAGAATAGCCCTGTTAGCCACTTGTCGTGGGTACAGCTCGTTCGTTATTTTATATTTGTTCCTTCACCCAGCGTGGGACTGAGAGAAAGTTTCAGGGGGGTTCTGCCCTGAGGTCTAGCCTCTTTCTCTTCTATACAACATTTTTGACAGAAAAGAGTACCTCTTGCCTATATACCTTCCATTAAAGAATAGTACCCTATCACACCACTTAGCTTACGAGTCTCTAATTAGGCAGTTAAACGTTTTCTTATAAGTTAATACGTCAGTACGGCAGGTTCTCTTAGGTTCTAATTGTGGGTACCATAGTCTTAAATTGTTTGATAATTGGATAAACTGTTGTTTTTGTTGTTGTTGTTGTTGTTGTAGTTGAAAGCAATTCAGGTGGATGCAGCTAGTACATGGTAAAAACCCGCAAGTAAGAACTTGGTTTTTAAGAAACAATCATGCTAAAATTTGCTAGATAAGCCCCCGAAATTTGAAAGAGGTACTTATTTTCCAAACTAGATAAAAAAAAATTTGTACACCTGGGCAGATCAGATTAGTCAACATTCAGAATCCTCTTTGGAGACGTAGGTGCGTTATCACTCCAACTGCAACGTATTGGTATGCAGATTTTATCTATAGGATAAGCTGAATACCACTTAATTCTCTTAGCTGCAATGTATTTTAAATATAAATCTGTTTAAGGACCTGAATAGCCTAGATTTTTATGCAAGAACGTTTTTAGGGTTACTTGGAAAAATGCAGGTTCTTACTCGTAGGTTTTTACTGTATATTATGCGTATGTTCAAGCAGTAAATTAGCAACTAAGCTTTTGCATTTTGTTTTTATCATTTTATTAAAATGATGCTAAACATCCAATACCTATGAAAGCCATTAATATCACTGATCATTCTGATTAAGACAATGAATATTATTAATTCCAGACTTAGATTGTTAGTCTAGTCTTTCTCTTTAAGTTTATTAAGCAGTTTGAACGGTTCAGCACAGACAGAAATTCTTCTCATTTCAAGCCTGTTATGGGAAATTACCAACAGTTCATACTGGAACACATGACAAGATCATACAGGCAAACATGTTATCGTTTTATTTAGTGTTTTCTTTGCCATAAACAATATGGTTAAAGCGCTTATCAATACGAAAATATCCAATAGTTATTACTCCACGTTTTCCTTTTCGCCACTGAAACGCAACCCTATGCTTGTAGACGTAATGATTTTCCTTGTAGCCTTTGGATTCATCAGAGTTCTTTGCCGTCTAATATAAATGCGGAGCTGAGCTTTTCCACCTTTTTTCACTAAAAGACGAAAGAAAAAGAATTATATGACAGTTTTAAGTTTCTATAATGTGGCGAAATATAATCGCGCAATTAAAATTAGAACGTCTTGCCTGATAAAGGATCAAGGATGGCAAAACGTCCGAGCAAACGTTTAATATTAAACTTTGTGAAGTGGCAACAATAATTCGATCTTCATTGTAAAAACTTACATAGAAAAGCTGATAACGTTGTTTAGAAGGTCGTCGGATATTTTTGATTTCAGGAAGGTTTGGTAAATCATCTTTATCGTCTGCCTGGTTTGGTCCTTCATCGGAGGCTTGGAATGGCTTGACCTGCTATCAAAAATAAGAAAGAAGGTCAAATTAATTACAAGGCTAATGTTTATATACTACAAATCAGTTACTTTTAGTACATTTTGAAGCATTGCGCGCGGCATAGAAATAAGTGGTTTTCCGCATTACACTAAATGAGCGACGCCCTCGAATAAGGGCTGCATGCCGTAGGAGCAAAAATCGACTGGTTTCGACTGTCTGTTTTAGTAACCAGGGGCACCCAACGAGGATATAGTTCAAAACCACTTAACATAGCATTGTTGAACGTATTTTAGTATTCAAACGGTAGATATAGGCATATTTTTATCTCCTAAAAACTTTTCATCTGTTCGGATTTCCTAGCTGAAAGTCTAGTGATCCGAAAATTATAGGGATATAAACTTACCTTCTCGAAAGTTTTAGCCAGGAAAAGGCTCCCGAAAATTCTAGGTGGCCTTTTTTAGGGTCAAAATCCGTTAAAAATGGGTAATTATACCATTTTGTAGATGTTCGAAAATCCTAGGAGAGGCAGGCAAGCAAGAAAGTTTACAACAAATGCTCCGAAAATTCTAGATCTCAAATCGTCTTCCGAACAGATATTTTCCCGAAAATTGCCGTTGGGTACCCCTGTAGTAACGTTTAGTAGTATATAAAATACTTGCTTGTAACTTCAGTTGGTCTGAGGTGGTGTCGTTTATTGCCAAGTTAAGTAAAATTGCTTGATTTATTTTTGGAACAAGTCGTAAAAATTGACTAAAAATCCTATGAGACATAAGGTTCGAGTTATTCTAATTTTACTTAATTAACAGCCTTATGACTCATCAAAACCACTTTGAAACAGTGGGGACTACCGACCACTTAATTGAGTACAATATAAAAATAACAGCTCAAAACTTTAAAGAAGGTACAATAAACACAGCAAATAGAAGAGGAGGTACCGACTGGAGGGACAAACGTGAAGGACGAGAGTGAAGCGAATCGCAATTGAGAATTTGGAAAAAATAATAGCCTAACCGTAACGTTTTCCTAAGTTCAGTTTTTTCGTCTGTAACTCAGTTTTGATGCAATGCTTGGCGGACAAATTTGTTTGACAAGAAGTATTGACTTTGCAAGTAATTTTTTCTGCTTACGCTAGTATGTTTCATTGAGAAATATTAACAAAACGATGAGTGCAAAGGAAAAGTTGTAACATTTGACTAGTCACAAAAACAATTTTACCTTTGAAAGTTGTCTTTTTCCAGTCTTACGCCGGCAACATCTCCACGTAGTAAACCCACAAACGCAGTTATAATTACCTATCTCAGAAGGACGCTGATGGCTTAATCCTATAACCTCGTCAGGCACATGGTTTTCATCGTTTGCGTCCCCAATTTCTCGGAAAGCAAGCAAAGGTTTGCACAAAAGAAAACAAGTTGAAAAGAATAGAAGTTGTCGGCGAAACATTCCAATTTCTTTGGAACAGAAGAGGCTTGTAGCAAGTACTTTGGTAGTTATTCACTTAATATGTACTATGAGCTGTACTTTATGACAGAGAATTCCTGTTCTGGGATATTTCTTTCATTTCGCCCTTCTTTTATTCCATAGCAGTGGTCTGTGCAGGTGTTAGTTCCCGAACGACAAATAAAACTAAGTTTTATTTTTTGTGCGTGATTGCGCGGTTATTTTTCAAATACAAGGAGATTTTTTGAATTGCGTGGGCTTTAGAGGACATTTTTAGATATTCACTGCGTCATTTATTTTGAATTAATGAAATCACATCTTTTTGCCAGAGAAATCTTTTGTGTGATGAACGGAAAAACCGCCAGGGATGCCTGACACTTGTACTTAGATAGCTGGTGAGGTGATATATCTCCCGAATATCACTTTTTCGGTGTCCTCAGCCGTGGAATCAAGAAGGCTTTTAATTTCTGTTGTAGTCAATTTCGAAAAAGGGAATAATTTGACAATGACGTGATTGATGGTAAGAATTACGATATTTCCTTAAACTCTTTGTCCAGGATTACGAATTGGACGATTTCCCCGACCCCTTCAAACTATAGGGGTCGTCCATGAACCATAAATCGGTGCTTTTGAAGTAGATTGACGTAGGAAAACGTTTAGTAGTGTGCTCTTTAATTAGATAATATACAGCAGCTCTATCTTATACATCCGCATTCATAAAGGGCGATAGAAGATAATACACATTGGCTAAGAACATGTAATTAGAAAACATGTAGGTTTACAGTCGCCAGTTTTTACAATATGATTCTAGGCGATTTTTAATGACTTCTTTGGGTGGGCAGTGAATGTAGTAATGGCAAATTGCTTTATTCCCCGAGGGGAATATTAAAAATCGTACCCTTTTATTGTAGAAGATCATCCGAAGCTATACAATGTCCGCTAGGCAGTTAATTGCAGGGAACTACTCTCAAAAGTTTTCTTGAAAAACGAACCATAACGTCTCTGCTAACTGACTAGTATGTAGAATTTCATGAAAATGGCTGTAATTAAAATTAAGAGTCTTGAAAATTAAAAGTCTAGAACATTCATTCATAATTTAAATAAACTCTGGATTTTCACTGGAATCAAATTCATTGAAGTACATATGAAGACCCATTTTCCTGGGATTATGCACTTCTACTGCACGCATTGACTAATTAAACATCTTGTTCAGCTATATACTAAAATTCAGAGTCAAATTGATTCTCACGTCAAAACTGTTTGCATTTGTAACAGTCATGAGGGCAACAAAGTAATAGCATTAATAAAATACGCGGTAGGAAATTTTATATACAACTTAAAATAGAACTAAAAATTAAACATTCCTACGATATATTTGAAATTTTCAAAATGTCAGTGGAGTTGAAGTTCTTAGCTTGATAACAATTCTAGATCTGTACTTTGAAACCTTATAGCCAAATTTTGCTTTAGTTAATAAAAAACAGATTAAACCGAGATAAGTTTAGGGACTGAGAATTCTCCTTTCTCTATAGTTAAACCTCTAAACGAAGTCCTGAAGTATGGTTAAGAACTCTAAACTTCAAGTTACCCTAGTTTACAGCAATATCATCATCAACAAAAATATACAACAAATGTTACTCTTCAAGAAATAAACGTTACAGTTCCGTTTTAAAATAGTCGAGACGATATTTAAAACCCCTCGTGGCTTACAGCTAATAACTGAATTTCACGGGTACACTATTAGAAACTTCAGAAAGTTACAAAAACCTCATTGTTAAGTTTAATTGCAAAGCATTACAGGAAGCAAATTCCCAGAGTTTATTTAAATGATTTCTTTTAAGGTTTTAGGAAATTAAGAAAAGCATACCCAGCATGACGCTTAGAAAAGAAAGACAAAAATACCTTTATTTGAAAACTCGTACTTCAGAATATCCCTTTCCCGCAAGGAATCTCCCGGTAAATGAATGCTCCTCCGTAGATTCCACATTTCAATGATCACACTTAAAGATATTTATCACCATGGTCTATACTGGTAAGATGAGGTCTTAAATACCTGCTTTTAATATCTTTTTCAATGGTTAAAACTACTTTGCTCAGTATAGCCGGCACACTGTTCAAATAAAAGCATTGTTCAGTAGCAATTATTTCAATAGCCACACTTGAACTCTTAAGGCTTTTATTACTGAACAAAATCAAACGGTCAGAATGTTTTTGTTTTACAGCACATGACAGTAATACAAGAAAGTACTGCTCAGTAGCTTTTTTTGAGGGAAACGAAATAGTGAAGAGAATTAACCGTGGACGAAGTAATTGTTGAGAGCCTTGTGTACTGCTTAATTTAGTAGAAGACTTTGAGGAAGTGGTTTCACAAACCTAGTAGCCAACCACAAGACCTACGACTAGAGTTGTCACACATGAGGGAAGATCAAATGACTCCTTACCGAACACCAAGGCGACCAATAAAAACATTTTTATAACCCTGAAATTCTTATTTTCCGTTTACGCCACCTTCTTGTAATTATTTACGGTGATAGGTAATTTAATGACCTAAAGGACTATAAATCAACAGCTTTTAATTTTCGTCTGTGGGCAAGACTTATCGGATCTGCTTATACTACTTCGATTCGTTTACGCACGTGCCGTGCGGAAGATATGATCATTTCCAAAGAAAAACATTTTTTTCGAACACGATAGGACAAAGCTTATCCTTGCTGTAACTCCAAGGCCGCTTTGTAATATTCGATATATTTTTGTCTTTTCATAAACCCACTGGTCTCACACACCGTGATTAAAACTAACAACTGAGTCAATTTCGAAAGAACTTGGTTTCTTCTCCTCTTCAAGTTTTACTTTGCGACAATCACGTGTAGGTGAGTTCGGATTACTTGAAATGACTTACAGAGATTTTATCAACAACAACAATTGCTATTCTATAAATTTTACTTGCCAAGAAGTAATAAATCTAAACTGGAAAAACTTTCTGGGGCGAAAGGAATGCAGTATATAGCTAGCCATATGAATTTGCAAAAAAAATGATTGAAATAAACTGAACCGTCTGTACTTGGTTTAAAATGATTAAGGACCAGCCGGTAGAGAATTCGAAGAACACATTAAAGAGTAGGAGTGATGAACAAGAAATGATAAGGGGTCAGAGTCCAAGGCTGTACTGATCCAAAAAAGCTGTACATAAATTAAACAAATGTTTTTTACTCTTTTTTCTATGGATACGTTTCACTAGATAAAAGGTCTTTTAAAGAAAAATTTTAATTATAGACCTCCATTTATCCTTTAAAAAGACCTACCCATTCAAATACTGTACATATGAGAAAATAGCTTTCAGTTACAATTAAATCGGTAAATACTGTTCATTGATGCGTCATTGATGTTTATGTCTACTAAATTCGATTCACTCTAAGATGCCTGAATAGCTGAGTACAAAGTTCAAAGAAGTGTCTTTTCCCGTTCACTACGTCACAGTTTTTGCATTTCTTAAGATTGTGTTGATCTAAAAAACGATTCAGAGAATAAACTTTTTTAGAAAACCTTTCTTCTTTTCAAGCGTCATGTTCATGAAAAAGCCA